AGTTAAAGTGATTAACTACCTCTCTGGCACTTAGTTAAGGGGTTTACTGATAAAAATCCTCACCTGGGGAAACAACCTTTCTTGGAGAGGTGACCTTGGTTAAAACACATAGCACTTAAGAAGGGGAGCAAAATATTAAGAACAGTATGCCATATACACCAGGTCCCTTGAAACATCCCTGCAGCGACTGCGTCAAGCAGCAAGGGTGGATCGGCTTTCAGCATCAGACAAGGTACCCTGGCCCAGGAGGGAGCACAGAATTCAGGCAAGGACCTGCGCTGCCTCTCTTGCAGAAGATGTCATTGTGAAGCAGACAAAAGTGGTCTTCAGAGCCCCTTTTATACCCTTCCCTCTGTACCACCTCTTCTCTTTGCTAAGTTTTTTCAGCATTCATAATGTAATAGATTAGTTTTTCCAGGAGTACATGCAATTTAAGAAATACTGCCTGGGAGAGCAATGCCTTGTTGTAATGTACCCTGCAAATCACAGAAGGACGCCTCAAGAAGTCAAATTAAAGAGTCACATTTATTGCAATCCGGGACGATGAGGGGCCATTCCCAAATCTCATAGTGATCAGATGGTCGTAACTTCAGGTTTATATAGGCAAAAAAAATCACAAAGGTATTGATTACATCTCAGGGTTTGGAATGGGGAACCTGGCTCACAAAAAAAGCAGTTTACAGAAGCAGAATTAAGCATGTTAATTACAGTTTGGGGCCTCGGGGTCACTGAGTTGACAGAAACACATCATCTGGGACCACTGGGTTGACAGGAACACATTATCTAGAGCCCTCGGGTCTCGAACCACTGAGTTGGCAGGAAGTCATTATCTAGAGCAGGGGTGGGCAAACTTTTTGACTCGAGGGCCACAATGGGTTCTTAAACTGGACCGGAGGGCCGGAACAAAAACATGGATGGAGTGTTTGTGTGAACTAATATAAATTCAAAGTAAACATCATTACATAAAAGGGTACGGTCTTTTTTTTTTTTTTAGTTTTATTCATTTCAAACGGGCCGGATCCGGCCCGAGGGCCGTAGTTTGCCCACGGCTGATCTAGAGCCATGGAGGCAATTTAGAGTAATTGCACTGTCCAGGTCTTAGGACCACTGAGTCAACTGGAACGCACCATCTGTGGCCACTAAGACAATTTAGGATAATTGTGCTGTCCTGTTTCCCAGGTACAGACGATAACCAGTAAGATCACAATCAATGGGATAGTCATTCAACCGAATGGGATGATTTATACAATTCATAAAATCAAAATAACCTGTCCATTGTTAAACAAAGCAAATAGGTACCATACTTCAGCCTAACCTACGGAAACAAGTCTCTAAGGGCAAAATGTGGGAGACTGTGACCGCTCTACTGGGAGCTAACTGTGGAAAGCAGTTCGTGTCTTTGCCCCTCCAATCATACCCACAGGCTAGATAGCCCGGCCTAAGCCAGGCTTTCAGGTAGCCTTGTAGAGAAAACTTCATTTTACAGCCCCATCATAGCCAGTTTTAGGAAATAGAGTTGCCATGTGTTTGTTTTCTGTCAGAGAAACCTATTTCCCAAAATGATGGGTAAGGCTAGAGAACAGAGCAAAATGGAGAAAGGATATGGAATTTTAAAAGAAAGGAAGACCAGCTGATGCAATGCAGCAGTCTAGCTGCAGTCAGGTGGGTTTTGTTTTTTTATTGTTTGTTGTTGTTGTTGTTGTTTTTGGATGAACATGTCCTTTCTCTTTGGAAGATCAAGGACAAATACCTACAGTCACAAGAATCAATTCATTCTGGGAAGTCTGAGTGGGTAGGAGAGATGATAGAACCCTCCATGCAAGGGAATGAATGTTGCTATGGAAACCAGACTATCCTTTAGTGTAAGCCCCAATGCACTTGCCAGGCTGCCTGACCCTGCATATGAACATTGTGGATCCAGAGAACTGCCTGTATATTAACATTATGGACCCAATCGCTTTTATTTTATTTTATTATTATTTTTTCCAATCTCTTTTAAAAGGCACTGTTCAGATACTGATCTGATGAAACTTTGACTTTAGAGAAAAGGAAGTTCCCCTCTCCTGGGAGGAGCTGCATTTCGTAGAACCTAAAAGCACTAGAGGTCCACAAACCATAGTTGACTGAGATGACCATACCTGTCACAGTTCTCTGGAGGGCTCCTGAGAAAAAGTAAAAGTGTGTCTTCAGGTTTCTTCTAAGGGTGAGTTTACGGGAGGACTGTGTAGGGCAAGGAATAGGTACAGCAGGGTTTTCTAAGAGAGAGAGAAGACATTCTTTGAACAGAAGCATGACCAGAATAGAGGGATACATTTAGGAATACTTGGGTGAAGGTGGTCTGGGTATACTGTGTGACATTTAAACTCTCTAAACTTAAAGATTTCATGTGAGAATTAGATAATTATCACCGAGTACCTAATACACTCAAAATCGGACCCAGCAAGTTACACAGCAAATACTGATTACCACTAACTACCAGGAGTACTATAACTAAAATGACTCCGACATTGCAAAGGTATGTAATCCCAGATGCACAAAGACAATAGACAGGCTCACTTAAGGCAAAGATTGACGTTTGTCAAGGAAGCTACCGGCCTAGGACATAACTGACCTCCATGACCTGCTTTTAATTAAGAATTTTTATGTTCACACCATCCTGTGTGGTTACTTTTGGTCTCTGAGTTTAGTGCACCCCTTTCCCCTCTGCCCCCACAGCTTGTCAATTGCAGTGTGTCACCCCTTTTCCATTCGCATGTACCATTTGCAGGAGTTTGTAACCTCTTTAGCTAACCAAGTTGCCCTTGAAGGGGCTGAGTGATTGAGAGTTGTAGGACTGTGATCATACTACATTTTACAAAATATACATTTTTATTGATTTCAGAGAGGGAGAGAGAGATAGAAACATCAACGATGAGAGAGAATTATTGGCTGCTTCCTGCACGCCCCCTACTGGGGATGAGCCAGCAACCCCGGGCATGTGCCCTTGACCAGAATTGAACCCGGGACCCTTAAGTCCACAGGCCGAAGCTCTAACCACTGAGCCAAACCAGCTAGGGCAGGTCCTATGACATTTGAAGGAAGGTGCAGGTGGCTAGTATTTTCCCCAGCTGTTGAAATCTGTTTAGAGGCAGGGTTGCAGTCTAGCTTCAGATTGAATAGGAAGGCTTCCTTATGCTTACCTTTGGGGTCAGGGTCAGGGGTTTCCTGCACAGAACATCAGTCCCAGACTAGTTTCCGCTTTTAGCCGCATCCCAGCAAAGTTCCCTAAATAGCACTATGAACTTGGCCCGGTCCCCACGTCCCCACAGAGTAGGTCCAAATCCTCCTAGGGCAGCGGTTCTCAACCTGTGGGTCGCGACCCCTTTGGGTGTCAAATGACCCTTTCACAGGGGTTGCCTAAGAACATCGGAAAACACATATATAATTACATATTGTTTTTGTGATTAATCACTATGCTTTAATTATGTTCAATTTGTAACAATGAAAATACATCCTGCATATCAGATATTTACATTACGATTCATAACAGTAGCAAAATTACAGTTATGAAGTAGCAACGAAAATAATTTTATGGTTGGGGGTTACAACATGAGGAACTGTATTAAAGGGTGGAGGCAAAGGGAAGGTTGAGAACCTCTGTCCTAGGGTTCTTCAATCCTGGGGATTTTTCCGAGTCTTTGGCAGAATACCCAGTAATCCTTTGGCCCTTCTGATTGGTCGCACACAGCATTGGGGCGGGGTACTGGGCGTGTCTCACGGCGACGCGCTGAGCTGTCACTGGTCGGTGAACCCGGTATTTACAAAGCTTTGTCTCGGCTCCGGGGTCGCAAAGGGCCGGCCTCCTTCAGCCAGGATCTTACTGTCCTTTGCATTGGCCAGACGTGTCGTCAATCACGACAGTTCGAGCTCACTGGTACGAAAGTTTCAACAGGTCCCGTCCCCGCTCCACTCACCCACCGCCTACCTGAGCGGAGCGGACATTCCGAAAGCCGCGGTGAGGGTGGCGGTGACCAGTGAGGGCGGCCGAGTCGCGGGCGGGGGAGAAGGGACCACAGCACGCAAGGCCGCCTCCTGTTTCCACGCCGCCCTCGGGAGGGAGGGACCTAGAGGGCAGCGCGCGGCCTGCGCTCAGGGCGGGGGCTCCCGGCCCCTCTCCGTCCTCCGCAGCGCGGGGCTGCGGGGCTGCGGGGCTCCGAGAGCCCTAAGCTTTCCCGGCGGCCGTCAGGTGGAGAGGCCGCGGCTTGGTGGCTGGGCAGAAAGGGCATTCGTAGGCCTTTCCTGGGGGAGCGGGGGCACCTCGTGCCCTGTGTGGCCATTCGTTCTTGTGGTTGTGAATGTGCCAGAGAGGCACTGGGGTCGCCACCGCCTTCCTCCCGAGGTCTGGGCGCCTCTGGAAGAGGAGTAGGAAGAGACAAGGAGAAGCGGGAGGGGGAACCTAGGAGGTGTGCCAGGGGTGGTTGGGAGAGGAGATGGAGCCTCCCAGGATACTTAGAGGTACCTTCCTTCTCACAGCAAGCTGCTTATGTTTTTTCTTAACTGAGATTTTGTTGTTGTTGTTGTGAGAAACAAAGACAAATCTCTATTTTGTCGCCCAACAAGATTTCAAGTGCTGCGACGCCCTGGACTTTCATGTACTTCCTATGTGGACCTTCTTTGGAGGATTGGAGCATGCATTCTTTGGCTGTAGCTGCCTATACCTCATTTTTATACAGGATAAGTGTGCTGTGCTCCTTTTCTCTGGTCGTAGCATAGAATGGCCTGTGCCGGACATCATCCAGGACGTTACGCTACTGTAGGAAGCCTTTGCTTTCAGGTAGGACCTCTGGAACAGGGTGACCTCCCCTCTGAGGTCACTGAGGGCAGGACGCATGGGAGATGGGCTGTCCTGGTTGCCTCTTCCCAGGAGTAAAGCTTTCCTTTGGTTAGGAAAGTCATGCAGAATAAGGATGTTTGGTGTGTGTGTGTGTGTGTGTGTGTGTGTGTGTGTGTGTGTGTTTCTGATTGAAGAATCTCTGTTGCCTTCCAGGAGCTTGGTTAGAGGCATGAACACAGTACTAGTTTCAAGTCTTTAATTAGAATCTCAAGCTCACACTACTAATAGGCTGATTTGTTAAAAGACTATAAGTTTCTGCAAAACCAGTCTGTCTTTACTATTGCCTTCCTGTGTAGAATCTACCCTATCTTCTACTGAAAAATAAAATATTGAACATTTTTGCTGCTCGAAGTCGGTACAGTGATGACCTTTTTGGGGGATAATGACTGGGAGGGGGTACAAAGAGTTCTAGGTCACTGGCAATCCTCTCTTTTGATCTGGTTCATGACATTTCATTAAACTGTACAGTTATCATGAATGTTTATATCTGTATGTAAATTATATTTCAATAAGTAGTTTTAAAGATTGATGGAGAATAAGGTGATAGTCAATATTGGATGCTATGGTATGGCCTCAACTCTTGCCCAGTTAATTTCACTGATTCCAGGGCGGTTTCCCAATGCTGTACGTATTTCTGCACCTCTGAAAAATGTTAGGTTATTTTCTGGGTATTGATATGGTCTGCTAGCCACAGGTTCTCTAAGTTCTCATTTCAAGAGCATTTAGATATACTTATTGTAGCACTGCTTCCCGACTTAAGGTGGCTAAAGCCTGCCATCACAGTGGTGGCATTGAGACTGGGCTTCTACCCATCCCACTTAGATGCTGCAGTGGAAAAGATAATTTTTCAGTAAGGTATCAAAAGGCTTAATTGAGTTTGCCTTTGAAAAAAAGACATACTACTCCTTATTGACAAAAGTGTACTTAAGATGGTTTAAATTGAATTTAAAAAACAACTAAAAAGCCGGCCCTGGCCAGGTAGCTCAGTTGGTTAGAGCGTCGTCCTGATATGGCAAAACTGCGTATTCCATCTCTGGTTAGGGCACATACAAGAATCAACCAATGGATGCACAGCTAAGTGGAATAACAAGATAATGTCCCCCTGCCCCACCCCCACCCCCGTCTCTGTATTTGTCTCTCTCAAATCAATAAGTTAAATTAAGGAAAATAAACTAAGCAAAATAAACAAATAAGCAGAACAGACTCATAGATACAGAAAGCATTTTGATAGTTGCCAGATGGGAGGGGGGTTGGGGGAATGGGTGAAAAAGGTGAAAGGATTAAGAAGTACAAATGGTTGTTACAAAATAGTTGTGGGTATGTAAAGTACAGTTTAGGGACTATAGTCAACCATATTCTAATAACTATGTATGGGGTCAGATGGTACAAGATTTATTGGAAGGATCGCTTAGTAAGTTATATAATGTCTAATCACTGAAACTAATATAATATAATATTGCATGTCAACTGTCATTGAAAAATAAAACATGATTTTAAAAAGTTTTACTAGGATCGACCGTTAATAGAGACATATTTTATGTATGTTTGCATATTTCTGCAAAGAACAATTATTTGACTTGCCTTTCTTTTCACCCAGGTAACCAAATTCAATTACCATGGGGAATGTTTTTGAAAAACTGTTTGAAAGTCTGTTTGGGAAAAAGGAGGTGCGGATTCTTATGTTGGGTTTGGATGGAGTAGGAAAAACCACCATGTTGTATAAATTGAAGCTGGGAAGGGTTGTGGCTACCGTCCCTACAGTAGGTATGTTAACAACCTGTGGCCACACCAAGTTACAATTTAGTCTGTTAAACTCTTAACATGCTGCTTATATTATTGAATATTTCTTTTCGAAAATCTTGTTTGTCCCAAGAATGTAAACTTTTTGATGCCAAAACCAGGTAATATATACTTAACAAATTGCTCTCCAATTCCTAGATTTACAGGGGAGTCATACAAACACATTTAGATTAAGCAAATTTATCCTTAGCTGCTAGGCAAGAAAGTAAAAGATAATAATGACTAAAACAGTGAGGGCAGTTACGCCCTCTGTTCCTCTCAGGATGTGTCCCAGCCTCTGCCTGAGAGGGAAGGTGGGAATCTGCTGTTCCCTCCTCAGCCAGTCTTCCTTCCAGCTGGCCGTCCTCAGTGGAAGCATCTTTCCACTCCAAGTACCTCCTAGTGTTTAAAGATGCAGTGAGATTATTTTTTCTTCACTCTGGTTCGAGCCAACTACTTGAGCTGGTGTCCAACTGAAGAATCTGATTTGTTCCAAAGCTGTAGACCAGCCTTCCTGTGAACCA